GCGGGGGTAGGGCAGCTCTACCTCGGGCTTCCTGTAGTCAGCCGCTGGTCAGTTTCAGCAGTGGCTGAATCGGGGACAGCTGGGGTGCTGCTGGGTTGGTCCCGCAACCCCGAGGGGCAGTGCTATGGGACCCACCCAGCAGCACTCCAGCTTCTCTGCCCCCGGCTTCCCTGATTCAGCTGCTGGTCAGTTTTAGCAGCGGCTGAATCGGGGAAGCTGGGGGCAGAGCAGCCCCAATGGTCCAGCTGCCTGGAGTACTTCCGGGTTCCTGATGGTGCCAGACCATCAGATGCCGGATCATCGGAGTTTTACTGTATATGAACAAGTTTATACTTCTTATTTCCAAGTTCAAACCTAGGAATGATGCATTCTGCAGATTACAAGCTTTTCAATTACAAGTTCCATGCCACATTTTGCATAATGCGTATTTGAATTAGGTATAGTCATATTCAAAAACATCTTTCCTTGAAGGATATGAGGATGCAATGTGTCAGTCCGCTGCATTAAGTTTCCTGATGCAGCCAAACTGTCTTAAATTTTAAGGATAATTATTTGCTGGATAAGTGACCAGAGCAGCTAAGGACACCAGGATGATGAAATTAAGTAATTCTGCATTATACTAAAAAACTGCAATAGTTGATTATCAAAGTAGAGAGAACATTGCAACTGAAAAAAAGTCAGTAGCTTAGAACATAAGAGTAGTCATTCTTGATCAGATCAATGATCTGTCTAGTCCATATCTTGTATTCTTACAGTAGATAGCTCCGGATGTTCAAAAGGAGTGAACAGGACAGGGCAAATATTGAATAATCCTATCCCAGATCCTGGCAGTCAGATGTTTAGGACACCCACAGCATCAGGTTGTGTTCTTGGCCATTTGGGATAATAGTCATTGATGTACTTATCCTGCATGAACCAATTGCTCTTTATGTGACTTCCCTTAAGAGTTGATATGTTGGAGCATGTTTCTGAATTTGTAATATTGAATATTACACCTCTGATTGCTGATCGACTTCTTAATTTTTATATTTTTGTTACATTGGTAATTACTGATTGCCTTCAATTTTTTTTCAGTAAAACGATTCAGAGAACCAAAGCATGAAAGACGTCCTTGGAGGATATGGTAAGTCTTTAATAATTAATAATTTGTAGAGGTTTTTTTCATATTCTAGATCTTCAGTTCATGGAAAATGAAAGAATGATCACTTGCATCTAATGTATAATATATGAAAGCACTTGAGTTGAGTCAGACTTAAGGGAATACAAGAGGAATGATGAACAGCCATAATTTTTCTGTATATTTTCCCTGTTCATTCTGTATCACTGCATACACCTTTAGAAATCTCATTCTAGATGTTAAAGATTAAAAAAAAAAGTGTGAACGCGTGAGGGATTCTTTTTAAAGTAGCTTTTTCTATTCCTTTTTCTGTACACTGAATTAACATAAGAACAGCCGTACTGGGTCAGACCAAAGGTCCATCTAGCCCAGTAGCCTGTCTGCTGACAGTGGCCAGCACCAGATGCCCCAGAGAGGGTGGACCGAAGACAATGATCAAGCGATTTGTCTCCTGCCATCCTTCTCCAGCCTCTGACAAACAGAGGCCAGGGACACCATTTCTATCCCCTGGCTAACAGCCTTTTATGGAATTAAATCTTCTCTAAAATATGATGTGCAAATACGTCTTGAAGCTTCGGAATCCATGTATTTAATTGAAGGCAGAATTAGGCCCCTAATGTCAAAAAGCAGAATGTCTTGTTAAAGCTTTAATTTGGTATTTTAGCTTATGTGCAAGATCATATGAGCTCTATTCAGATTACCCCCATACTGTCTTGTTCCTGTGTCATCTGTTGTTCTATTTATTGAAATATTGTGTTAGCATTTCTTAAAGGGCTTTACAATGAAACTGAACAACAAAAATATCAGGAAAAAATACTGACTCATTCGGAAGTAAATGGGGTTTCCGATTAGAAGCCAACTTTTCAAAGCTGGGTGCCAAAAGATTTGTTTAGGCATCTAAATATAACTACTAATTTAAATTTAAATCACCTTTTTGTACATTGAAATCTAAATAAGTACCTGGATTTGGCTTTTCTCTGATACTGAGCATTAACTGCTGTTGGGGACAGCTAGGGTTACTCCTTTAAAAACTAGGTCTCATATTTAAAAATGTGCCCCAAGGTTTCTGAATACATATACTATCTAGTGTAAACAACTGTTTATATTTTAATCATATTCCAGACAAAACTATCTAAAATTAACAAGAAGATTGACCATTTTAGGGACCCTATCTGATCTTCACAAAAGAAGTTGACACTGATTAAAATTGAATTCTTTGCAGCTGGTGGTTAGAGTACATTTTCTAAATACATTACACATAAATGGAATTCTCAGCTCTTCTTTGAGCATGAAATTTAATTTGAAGATGTTAACATTTTGCAGTGTAACATCAGTGGTTGATCCAATGATCAACATGTGGTTATTTCAGGTTTTCAGGTTGGTGGTAATTATTTTCTATTTTAAAGAATGATTTTACAGAGTTTGAAATAATTATATGGTTGCCTATAGAATACAGTTTGAACCTCTCTAGTCCAGCAATATCCGTGGTCTGGCATGAATTTAGTTAGCCAGATGTCCACTTACCATGAGCATGACCAGTGTGGTGCGCACCAGCTGCTGCCCCACACTGCTGCCTCTATAGAGAGTGCTGCCTCTGCGGTGTGGCAGCCGGCTCCCCAGGAGCCAGACCGGAAACTGTTTGTTTAACTGATAAGCTTATACTTATTGGTTACCTGTTTAAATGTCTACACTCTCACATCCATTGTTCCCAACAGTGAATTGGAGTTGCAATTGCCTTTGGGAAAACTGTCCCCTTAGTGCTTTTTCTTCTTGGGAGGCATTTGCAACAGCTGTCAAGTTAGACTAAGGGAAAACCTTTGGCAAAAGGAAAGCTCTTTGCTTTCTGCTTCACTCCCTCCCTCCAATCAAGTGTCTTATAGGGGAGCTTGGCCATCTTTGGGGGGGAGGGACTATATTTCCCCCTGGCTAGTGTAGGCACAGAAGAGGTTAGGCTGGATTAAAGAGGCTGAGAAAGGTGCAAGATGTGTCTGCTCTGCAGCTAGCCGGTGTGATTGCATATTGTGTAAGCATTAGGGATGTTAAAATGCGGGTAATTGGGTAAACGTGTAACCACTGAAACTTAGGATGAATGCCATCAGATAAAAGGTCTCCTTCCAAAAAGAATGTTGATGGATGATGGAAATGGCCTTAAAGGAAAATTGACCTTATGAAAGAAAATTCAGGTTTGTAGGAACATACTGGGAATGCTCATTTCATGCACAGACATGAATCAATGAACCAGAGTTCACATGAGATCTCTTATCCCCTCTGCATATAACATTGCCTGGTGGAGAGCAAGGTTTACTCTCTTCTTCAGGAATAGTTGGAAAGGTAGAAAAGCATATGGGGCCACAGTGCACTTCATTTCAGTTTACATATGCAAGGAGGTCAGCTTTGTAAATTAGTTTGGCCTGGTAGCTACTTGGCACCTACAAACGGAAGTAGTCCTCAGTGGCCTCTTAGCGTCTCGTGAGATGGTGAGTGACTTCTTGTGAAGCTTGGCAATGTCTTTGCTATGTGCATTCCCATCTGTTCTGCTACTCACCAAGATCATAGAAAAGAGGTAAAAAAGTGGCAGTCTGTTTATTCCTCGCAGGCTGAAGACTGTGGCATTGAGGCCCCAGTTAACCTAGTGTTCATAGGATCAGGTGCTATTGTTTTAGTAATTAAGAATTGCAATGAGCTTCAGCACTTAAAAATGTTTCTAGTGACCAGTCCTAGATTTGGGGTTTTTCAGTGACAAAGCTTATGCCTTCTATAGGTTAAAATAGTTTGGGGCTGCAATCCCTACTAGGTGTCCTTCAGCAAGTAGTTTTCTATTTTTAAAATAGAGCATTTAGTTCCTAAACTTCTAGGCTGATTTATGTGTATTCATTAGTGCAGAAGGGGGAGGTAAGGCTGTTTTCTCATGCTGTTTCCTGATGCTGAAGATGAGAGGAAAAATGTAAGGGATTTGATAACCAGGAAACGGATGAAAATACAGGGCAAGAAAACTATGTTGGTCTGTAAAAAGGAGCATTTTTTCCATTAATGCAAAAAGCCAGCAAAGAAAAAAATTGACAATGAAAGAAAAGGAGAAAAATATTAAGTAATAAAAGTAGTGAACTGAATTCATTCGGATATACTGTTTTGATCCATATTTCCCAATTCAGTCACGTGAACAAAATGTGTATGGCACCTCCAATTTTGTGCAGAAGAAAAAAGAATGTCCTTGATTAGGCCTCTCTGGCAGTGTCTGCACCTAATCTAAAAGACTCATATTTTTAAAAGCTTGCCATAGTGGCAGGGGATCTTTTTTCTATATTAGTTTACTCTTTGCCAGTAATATTTGATGTATAACTTACATTGTAATTTTAAGGAGACAAGTGGATGAGGAAATATTTTTTATTAGACCAGCTTCTGTTGATGGGAGAGGAAAGTTTGAGGAAGAGCTCTGTACGTTTTGAAAGCTTGTCTCTTCTCAAGGGAAGTTGGTCCAATAAAAGATATTACCTCATTCACCATGGCTCTCTATTTTTCTCGGACAAACGTGGCTAGAGTAACATTGCATACAAAAATGGAAGATATTGTAATTTAATTAACATTCAGCCATTTACTTTGAGGCTAAACTATCAACATCAATTTTTTAATAAACTGAACTTTTGATGAAGGAATCATTACCATGCACCTGTTAAAATGTAGAACTCCAGGCCAGGTGATCTGCATTTTATTCCTTGCTATGTCTTAAACCTGCTATAAATTCATAAACAAAAAAGGATAGAAATTTTTCTGTCAAGATGATGTGCTACATTTGTTTGCAGCATTTTATTAAACCCTTTAATGTTATTGTAATGCTATTCTGTAATCCACGCTCAAACCAGCAATCTCTCTCAACTGCTTAAATTATAATTGAGGAGGTGATAATGAAGTTTCACATTATAGAGAATTTCATTATTCAGAAACAACTACATTGAAAAGTACAAAATTAAAAACTGCATTTTGTAAGAAATGAATGTGTTCTGACTTGGTAATTTGAAAAATTCCATAATTTCTGTGTTCTAAATAATTAGTATGAATTAGCAAAGTTCTATTGAATTTTCATTGTGTAATCTAAATACTTTTCAAAAACCAGTCCTCTTTTTATACAGGTTTTTAGATACCTCCAAACAAGCCATAGGGATGTTGTTTATACACTTTGCAAATGTATATTTATCGGACCTCACTGAAGAGGACCCTTGTTCACTGTGAGTGCTGTGAATTTTAATAAATGATCCTTTAGGGAATGGTATTTTCTAAGTTTCATTAAAAAATTGATAATTCGGTTGATTGGAAAAATAATCTGCAAAACTGTTTTGAGGCTAAGTGAGGGGTTATTTGAAAGCTCACAAAGGCAATTTGGCACAAATCATGAGTAAAGAGTTAATCATCTAATTCACCTTTTTTAAACCATGAAAAACTGAAACTGAAGAATCTGAGGAAATATATGTTAGGCTATGTAATATTTTAAATATGTATAGATATCCTCCTGGTTAGTAACAAGTAGTACCAAATTATGCTAACCAGAGAGAATCAGCCTGTTTTTGGATAAATATCTAAGACGTAAAATAAGATTTAAAAAAAAATTAAATCAGTTTCCAGCTTGCTGATTTGAACACTTCACCCAATTTTGTACACTTTTTTTTTACCAACCATATAAGTGGCAGGAATTGTTTTCTATTCTTTGCAACACACTGCCTAGCACAGTGAAATCTTTTAGATACTACCCAAATACCCATGGTAAAGATAATAGAACACCATAGCTTTTACACAACACACATCACCAGTGTTCAGAGTAGATCACAGAGGGAACTCACTGAGTTTGGTAGCTGTTGCCATAGATCTTGGTGTTGTGAAAGACTGAATATGATGATCAGTGAAAAAGGCACAGAAGCCTGAATTCCCTTCCCCCTCACAATGCCCACAAAGTTGTGGATGCATAAACTATTTAATTGCTACCTTTTTAAAAATTATATAGTGGAGAGGGGGAAAATTGAAGGAAGCATCGCCCAGTGTGCTCAGAGTCTGAAGGAACCAGAGGGTTACTGAGAGCCAAACTGCATTTACACTCTTGGATCCCAGCTAGGGGGTTGGCTTCACACGTTGTCCCATAGACTCTGCTTAAAAGCTTCTGATCTCAGGTGCAGTGGTCTGGTCTCAGTTGATTTAAAATGGTGGCTCAATATATCAAATGAAGGAATTTTGTTTGTATTTGTACTTTTATCTCATAATTACAGAAGATTTTTGCCTTTAAAGAGTCTTATAAATTAGTATCAGGCAGTAAACTTCTGGGTAATGGTAATTCCTAATTTTGTGGGGATGCAAGAGGCATAGCCAGAAACTAGTCACATTAGGCTCGTCTCCTAATTTAAATAGTTTTTAACGAGTTTAAAAACTTCTGGGAGTGCAAAAAAGCATCAGGAGACTTGCACTCTGAGATTTCAGGGCACTACAAGTTAAGAACCCTGAACAAACGTTATGGACAGATTTTAAATGCTTTAAGATAAGAAGGATTGTAATTTAAATAATTAGAAATGGGCAAGCAACAGCTCTGTAATATAGTGAGGTTTTTCCTACTCTTCAGACTGCAGTGACCCCTTGTGGTCTTTGGAATAAAATGGCTCGGGTTGGGGATTTGACATTTAACTTGAAGGACAAACGCTAAGTAGCTTCAGGGGGTAGCTGAGTTAGTCTGTTACAGAAAAAAACCAACCAATGGTCTGGTAGCAATTTATAGACTAACAAACATGTAGTATCATGAGCTTTTGTAGGCACAGCCCACTTCTTCAGATGACCGGAGTTATGAGTTTGGGATGTGTACACTTGAAATAAATAGGAGAGGGGAATGGCAGGGGGGGAGGAAAAAAAAGGGGTGGGAGACAAAGCATCAGTAAGTATCTGAAGATTGGATCGTTAAACCAAGGGGCAGTTCTAAAACTGTTTAATATCTAAGGTAAGAATATAGCTATATGTACAAATACACAAATGTTCAGTTTCTGTAAAATTTTGTGTGTGTGTGTGTGTGTGTGTGTGTGTGTGTGAGTTAGTTAGTTAGTTAGTTAGTTTAAATATATATAGTACCACGAGCTTTCGTGGGCAAAACCTACTTCATCCAATGAGAGTTGAAGTAATGGGATGACCCCTAAATTCAGGGGGAAAACCCATGCTCATGGTTTTCTCTTCTATATTTCTCCATCCTTCTAGGTATCTTATAAACTTCTTGCTGGATGCCACCTTAGGGATGCTGCTAATCTACGCTGGTGTGCGTGCTGTCAGCGTCATTGTAGAATGGCAGCAATGGGAGTCGCTTCGCTTTGGTGAATATGGTAAATATTTCTGTTCTTGCAACTAAATGAATTGGAAAGGAGAGCACTTCAGTGACGCTGCGCTTAATGTTTAACTGACTGTCTTTAAAGTATTACACACACGGTTGTGGAATAGTCAATTATAACATTGTTTCTCAACCAGTGGTACAAGTACCCTTAGGGGTACTCGAAAGAAATCTTACGTCAACACAACTGAAATTTGGAGAAAACTGATTTTTTGTTTTAAGTTTTACAGTGCTTTATTATGTTTGTACTTTTTACACCCAAAAATTGCATTGCCCACCCAGCTATGATTAAGTTGTTTAAACAAATGTGTTGCAAGGGTAGAAAAAAAAATTGTGTATTTGAAAATTGTAGGTACTGGCAGTACTTATATTTTTTTTAAAAAGGGGGGGTACTTATAATTTTATTTTTTAGAAAAAGGTACTTTATTAAAAAAGGTTGAGAAACACTGAATTCTAACACTTGACTTGCATCACTGTAGAGTTTTTAATAGATTTCTATACGTAGAATATTACATGGGAGCACCTAAAAACCAACTTTTTCATTATATTTAAAAAAACCTTAAAACTTAGCATGGAACTATAGAAAGCCTGGCTGTAAGATATGATACAGATACGATAAGATATATATTTTTGCTAAAATATAAAGAAAATTTACAAAACAAAAAAACCTAGTCTTCTTTCATAATATTCAACAGAGGTTTGGTCTTACAAGATCACTTTGTGTTGATTGCAGTAAAATAGCATTTGGACTTGAAGCTTTAACTTAACTAACCACCAGCATTTAAACGTCAAAGATTGGGAGTCTTCTAGTCATACTTCAGAGAATGCCCTCAGCTCAGATCATTACAAATAATGTAGAAAAGAACTATGTATGGTTGAATAGCTCTCTATATATTAAAGAGAGTTTTTCCTGCGGCGTGACAGTGACATCACATCACTCTGACGCCCCCCCAACCTTAGAGTCCCCAGAAGAGGAAGAGGCAGCTATGTCTCAGAATTCTCCTGCCCCACCCTTGGGGGAAATCTTGGGCTCCCCTGAAGGAGGGCCAGGGAGTGGCAACAGCAGCACCTTGCTGCGCTGGGGGTCTTGACGCTCTAAGACCCAGCAGGGAACCACCACCTCCAGCTGCTTGAGCCAGGCACTCTGGGGCTGCCATGTGCCTGGACCCCAGTCTGGGACCCCCCTCCCCCAGCAAGATTAGTGCACCAGCGCTGGCTTCCTGCAGGGAGAGGAGAAAACCCCGAGGCTTAGCGCCGGAAGCAGCTTACGGAGAAGTGTGCAGGCTGCTGTCAGGAGCGCCGGGGGTCCCTTCTCCTCCCTTCAGAAGCGCATCCTTCTCTACAAGCCACCTCCAGCATGGAGCCTCTGGGTTTTCTCTTCTCCCCACAGGAAGCCGGCAAGCTCCAGGCATGCGGTGGCCCCGCGCCTGACCTGAGCTCTCAGAGGTAGCAGTTCCCCACTGGCTCCTGGAGCGTTGGGGCCCCCAGTGCAGCAAGGAGCCACTGCTGTCACCCCCTGGCTCTAGTTCATGGGATCCGGGGCCCAGTGGGCAGCCCAAGGCGCCTCCTGAGGTCGGGGGGTGGGGGGTAGGATGGGAGAACCCTGAGCCATGGCTGCTCTTTTCCCTTCTGTTGAGGCTAGGGGACGGGCCGACGTACAGTGATGTGATGACATCACGCTGCTGCCCCACAAGAAAAACTTTCTTTAGAGAGATGAAAGGAAACTTTTTAACAAGCGAATAGTGTGATGGTCTCACATTAACAAAGATCTCAGTTTTCTACAAGCCTGCACTAGTAGAGCTGGTATTGCAATTATGCAGCTGATCAGGAATAAGACACATTTGCAAAACTTTTCCATGGACAGATATTATTGCAAAGTCTGGCTATGGCTGCTGCTGTAAGTCTACTGCTTCATAAAAAAATTACAGGTCACCAAAAGGCAAGGGGTTGGGGGGCACCAAGAGGCTGGGAATGTGGGGAGGCCAGGGCTGGCTGCAGTTGGCGGGGGCCAAGAGCCCAGAGGGAGGACGTCAGGAAGGGAGAGGAGGAGCCAAGAGGCCAGGGCTGTGGCCGGGGGGGAGGGGAGGGCGCTGCCCCTGGCTACTGGGGGGAGAGCTAGGCTTGCTTACTCCCAAAAATCGGGGTTGGTGACTGTCGCAAGCAGTGGGCACTGTCCCCTAGTATAATTTTAAAGAGCTTTTCTTTGGTTAACATAGAATAACACCTTTTGGAAAAGTACTGTAATTAGCAGATGAGTGCATGTAATTTAAAAAAAAAAACAGGTGGAAGAAAAAACATAAGATTTAAATGATCGTGTGAAATACTAGGGTCTACAGACTTTTATTTTATGAATTTTATGACTAATTCCAGACAAATGATTTTCTAGTGTAAAACGCCAGCATCAGATATTTATAATAGCACAATGGAACCAAATAGTGTGTCTATAATAAATCAATTCTTATATTAAGAGTTGATGTGTCCTTTAGACTTCTTAGGATTCACCCTCCCTAGGCACATTGAATCATTGGTCATAATTAATTTCTCAATGCTGCTATATTTGAAGTATTATTGATTGCATATGGAGTATTTCTAGATACAGGCAGTCCCCGGGTTACGTACAAGATAGGGACTGTAGGTTTGTTCTTAAGTTGAATTTGTATGCAAGTCGGAACTGGTACATGTTGTAGGGGAAACTCGAGCCAAACATTTCTCCAGAGCTCAGTTTTATTCTCCCACACCTCACTTCCCTCAGTCCTTTATTCTCAAGCTGAGGTGTCTGCTGAGAAAAGCCACTCTGCGTCTCCCTGGTCTGCTGGGGGGAAGCAGCTAGTGCGGGGTTGCCTCACCCCGTTTGTAAGTAGGGATCCGATGTAAGTCGGATCCATGTAACCCGGGGACTGCCTATATAACTATTTAGTATTAAAAATCTTGTATTTTCACACTAATTCATACTGTAAACTTGGGGGAGCCGAGAGGCCAAGGAGAGGGATGAGGGTCAAGAAACTCTTTTGCCTCTGTAAACTTTCAGAAAGTCCTTTTATTTTTTTAATATGTAACACATTTTTCTTGAGGTATAAGCATGACCAAAAACATAACATCTTCACAAAAGAGAAACTATGCCACTGATACAAGCCTTGTTTTAGGTTGTGATGTTGAAGGAAAAAAATGTTTTTCTAAGTACTTTTATCTAATTTGAGAAACCTAGATTACCACTAACTTCAGTAACATTACTGGGATTGTGTTGATGTAACAGAAATTAGAATTTAGTTTAATAGTAATCTTATTTAGGTTTAACACCTTAAATATCTACAAGTGAATATTTCTTGGTTTTAGGAAAATTGCCAGAAATTAGCTTGTTGACATAAATGAGTAGCTATCTGTTCTTTCATATATCCATTTTTCCAGTATCAAATCACTAAACTATCTCCATGCTTTCTATTAAACATATACCTAATTGAGTTCTAGTTGTTAGCTATCTGATTTTTCTCAGAAACATCTTCTACAGGTTGCACCTCTTAAACAGGTGCTCTCTGGTCGAGCAAAATCCATGGTACAGCACAGATGCTTCTGGACATTTGCAAAAAGCAGCCATCTGGTCATCAGACCACACATTTGCAAAGCCTTATGCACTTACCTCATCCATTGCATCATCTGTGGCTGTCAGACAAGCGATGTTCTCCTTAGTGACAATGGCAGGGCTCCAGACCTGCCTCCATGATTCAACTACTGCTTTGTAGTCACCCAGAATTGAGCACCCATGGGGACATCACTCAGAGAAAGAGAGAGTTACTCAATCTGTGCAGTAATGATGGTTCTTCAAGATGTGTGGTGTGGAGAGGGCAAATAAAGAAAAGTTATTTATTAGTTCCCATAATAGAAGAACTAGAGGACACCAAACGAAGTTAATGGGTAGCAGGTTTAAAACTAATAAAAGAAAGTTCTTCTTCACACAGCGTGTAGTCAACCTGTGGAACTCTTTGCCAGAGGAGTCTGTGAAGGCTAGGACTATAACAGAGTTTAAAGAGAAGCTAGATAATTTCATGGAGGTTAGGTCCATAAAAGGCTATTAGCCAGGGGATAGAAATGGTGTCCCTGGCCTCTGTTTGTCAGAGGCTAGAGAAGGATGGCAGCAGACAAATCGCTTGATCATTGTCTTCGGTCCACCCTCTCTGAGGAACCTGGTGCTGGCCACTGTCAGCAGTCAGGCTACTGGGCTAGATGGACCTTTGGTCTGACCTAGTATAACTGTTCTTATGTTATGTGTGTCCCCATGGGAGCTCCACTACCCTTCCTCCTTCCACTGTTTTGGAGCCTTATGCTGTACTGGCAAGGGTAGAGAAGGAACGGAGGGAGCTGGGCCATGCATGCACCTAACAGACACCAACAGCACAAGAAGACACCAGAGCATGTGTGCAGCGAGGCACTGCTGGAAAAATCTCCGGTAGCTGGCACAAGGACACCGGTAGTTCGGAATAGGAAGCCTAGTTCGAACTACCTAGTTCGAGCCCCGTGTAGCCGCGCTGCACGGGGTTCGAACCAGCGGGGTTTTAAAAATGTCGGCTCCCCGCTTATGCAAATGAAGCCCGGGAAATTCAAATCCCGGGCTTCATTTGCAAGTGCGGTATGCCTACATTACCCCGCTAGTTCGAACTAGCGGGGTAGTGTAGACATACCCCTAGTTCTTGAATGCAGGGATTTGGAGCAATCAAGTTTTTGAATTGCTCCTCTCCAGCTCTGCTCCAGCATCAATAGTGACTGCTCTAGCTCTGCTCCGACACTGCTCTGCTCTCCAACTCAAATACATTTTTAACTAAATAAAAAAATGCATACTGTAATTTTGTAAAAACATTATTTTTATTCAGAGTTTTAATACAATTTAGATGTCATCAACAATGATACAAACTAGAATCATTCATAATTCAATCTGTAAAAAATTATTGCAGCAATCAAGTCATCTTTCATAGCCTGCCGCAGATCATTTAAAATTAACTTTAA